TTCTCAAGCTGTCTTTATTTGAGATATGGCTGTCTGCTGTTGTAGATCCTTCCAGGAGTGAAGGTGATCATCGCCAACACAGAGACTAAAGGACCGCTGGGAGACTCCCATCTAGGAGAGGTAACGATATCTGAGACTTGTTTCACCTGGTTGTGAGCCACAATCAGTGTGTTTACATGCACTTAAGTTACAGGTTATAGTTGGCTTTCTGTAATAAACTGACCACTTAAATGTCACATAAAGGAGACACCCAATTTCTGCAGATTAGAACAACCTGGTTTCTCCAGTTAGATTTTTCCTGGAGAGAGCCTCAGCCAATTTATTTTCCATGTGTACACCTGGTTATGTGTACATAACATATAGGGCAACTGGATTAAAGGAAAGAAAGAATCTTTCTATTCGAATTATTATTATTATTATTATATATATTATTATTATTATTAAAAGTCTGGCTAAAATTAAAATGTACACAAAGTTGCAAGAAGAAGTCTAAATAAGAAATTTTCTACCACAGAACATTTGATTTGATTTGTAAAATTCAGACACTACAGTGTTTATTACTGACCTGCTGCATGTGTAACCTGGTTTCTTTTGTGCCTATAAACATAATGTCTGAGAAATGGAGCCATGCAGCAGCACTTACTGAGTAATATTTTTCTATTTATTGGGCTCTTTTCTGATCAGTAACCCACAAACAGGTGATGGACACTTTTTATTTAAAAAAAATTTTTTCAATTTATGTATTCTCTTTTTATTTAAATGTTGTATGACACTAAGAATGACACAAGACTCCATAACTTTGATCAAAAGAGCGACAGATGTGTACGGTTATCTGTGTAACGGTTACCAATTGTTGTGTGTGTGTGTGTAATAGATCTGGGTGAGCAGTCCTCACAATGCCACAGGCTACTACACAGTTTATGGTGAGGAGGCGCTGCATGCTGACCACTTCAACACCAAGCTCAGCTTTGGCGACACTCAGACTGTCTGGGCGAGGACGGGCTACCTCGGCTTCCTGCGGCGCACTGAGCTGACTGATGCCAGTGGAGGTGAGAATCATCAACACTCACTCGAACTTCAAGTCAGTTAATTGCTCTTTCTGTAGCTGGACTGATACTTAAATTTGAGATGTAAACTGATAAATCTGCGACTGTGTGTGTGTCTGTGTGTCTCAGAGCGCCATGACGCCCTCTACGTGGTGGGCTCTCTTGATGAGACTCTGGAGCTGAGGGGAATGAGGTATCACCCAATTGACATCGAGACCTCTGTTATCCGTTCTCACAAGAGCATCGCTGAATGGTGAGAAATTAACAATTATAGATCAATACTTTATTACCATTCAGTTTGAATTATCATCATGTAGTCAGATGTTTATCCACCTACCTTACACTCACCTCCTTTTCTCCTCCTGTCATCTTACTGCCCCACCCCCTTCCTTTTTCTTTCCCTTCATGCATCGACAACCTCATCCTCCCCACAGTGCTGTGTTCACATGGACCAACCTCCTTGTGGTGGTTGTGGAGCTGGAGGGATCAGAGCAGGAGGCCCTGGACCTGGTGGCCCTGGTCACCAACGTTGTCCTGGAAGAGCACTACCTCATCGTAGGGGTGGTGGTGGTGGTCGACCCCGGCGTCATCCCCATCAACTCCCGAGGGGAGAAGCAACGCATGCACCTCAGAGACGGATTCCTGGCCGACCAGCTGGACCCAATATATGTGGCTTACAACATGTGAGGGCCCTGCTGCGGGAGGGTTACCCCTCCATGTAGCTTATCACACAACAGGAGAACGCAGGACAGTAAATATGGGGCTCATAATTGATGCAAGCCCGATGTCAGCATGGCTTCTGTTGAAAGAAAGCAAGCTGACCTCCTCTTTCAGCTCTCGGAGTGGAAATATGAAAGAAAACGTGGATGCAAAACTACATACGTAAACATTTTTGACTCATCTAAAATGGAGTGAAATTCCAAGAGAAATGAGATTGACAGAAAGAAACCTCATGTCTGTTTCTACCTGTGATTTCTTGCCTCAACAAATAATGTTTCAATGGGCATTCTGGTTTTGTTAACGTGAGTTTTGTATTTATAACGTCTGACTCTCTTAACCCAGGACACCCGATAGCAGCCCAGCAGGTGGTTATGGTATAATACTACACTGTGCCATTAACATAATTTACTTTGTCAGTCTCCAGAAATGTTAGTTGTGTTTGCCCAGCACTTGTGCCATAGAACAGGACAGACGGCAGTACCATAACCCTATGTTTCATGTTCACAGAGCCTCCTGTGCCGTTGCAGGTCGTATGCTTTACATAGAAAAAGTCTATCCCACGCACATCAGCTCTTCAAATTATGGTTGCAGCCATGTTATTGTGTTAACAAAGAAGCACACAGCAGTGTTGGTTGAGGGGGCAGTTAGTGTTATTTGTTGCTCATTCCAGCAGTAGTGCTTTAGTTTTTGGTGTTAATAACAGAAACCTTAGAAATAATGTTGTGGTTTGACTCAATCTCATTCTTTTCTCGATCTAAAATGTGTAATATAGTTGTTGTTTTATCTGAACAAAATGCAATATGAGTGATGTGAAAGATGTTGCTTTGAATGACAGCAGACAGTAAGTGCCGATCATTCGAAGTCATGACATGGCGGGGAGTATAATCGTTGCTTACTATTAGCAACGTGCCAAATGATATGAATTAAGCCTTAAGTGTTTTTTTTAGATGCCTGTTCCTATCCCAGCTCCTGTTTAACTTAATTTTGTGAAGTTTATCAGCTGTTGGATAGGGAGGGAATATGCAGAGAGAGGTTAGGTATGGTAAATCCTGCTTTTATTGCACCCAAAGTCTTGATCTAAGATGAATATACTTGATCCTAACATCAGCCATTACAAACACACACACATTCTCCATAAATATTTTTAATAATGTTTGTCCCTATTGTCAGCTGTGTTGAATGTGTTTTATAGCAAAAGACTGGAATAAATCGTAGTTGATATGGGTTTGATGCAGAAAGTTATAGCCTCATTTTGAGAGCCATAAGGTTGAATGAGAGTTGAAAAATGTTGTTAGTTGCATGTACCGTATGAATCAAGTGTCTAATATGCTCGTAACACCATAACCTCCCACCTTATTATTACTTTGTAAAGATTAACTTCCCTGTATGTTGCTTCTTTTTTTCTATGTGCACATCCCTTCAGAAACAGGCTCCAGCCTGCTGTAAGTATGTACAGGTTTTGTGTAAATTATTAATAGATTGAGGAGACGACAGGAAGCATTACACGAAGACTGAATCTGGTATATATGTGAAGTTTCTCCATCACAAACAAAAATTATTTGAAATGTATTCTCATGTGTGGACATTGGGATGAGACATGAAAAGCCTTGTGAACATTTTTATAGTATGAAAGTACAGTGGGAACTGGCCACTTCCAGGGTGAGACGAAGCACACTCCGAGCACAAGGAGAAGACAGTTATGCTCTGGTAACTGCTGAGATGTCACATCCTCCAGAGCAAACTTTTGTTGTTAACATATGGAAAGATACATTTGTCTGATATATGGTTAGTTGTCATTATTTTCATAACATAATTTCTTAATGAATAAAAAAGTGCTTTTAACTTGAAATGTTTGTCTTCACTGGCAACTGAACATCCAGGTGTCCTGTCTAAAAAGAATATTTTAAGTTAGGTCAGTATTTTTTTTTATCTGGGGCACACACTCACACTTTCAGTTAAAGGTTATGATAAAAACCATGGACACACACACTGAGCTGTAGATTTGTCTGTGCTCACATAGTAAATGTTAACTTTGATGAAATCAAAATCAATATCTATCAGTTACGGTTGTAGTGGATGCTGACCTGAATCTCAGGAACATCCTTTTTTCATAAAGAAATGCTACATGAGAAGCTAATGGAACAGAGGCTAGCCTGGATGTGACGTCACTGAAAATTTGCGATTCTGATTGGCTGGCAGTTGACGCTATGATGTTTGTTTGGTTTGTTTAGTTTTACTATAAGACGCCAGTTTTGAACTAGTAAGAACAGTGAAGCTTAGCGACAGTGCTTGAAGCTTGGGTTATTAGCTATAATAATAAACTGATAATATAACAACCGCACAGTGAGAACCCAACACATTAATATACATAGCATAACATCCAAATCATGTAATGGTTGGAGGGAGAAAGAGAACTTTTAAAATAATGTTCTTCGAATGAGCTGCTAAATAAAAATGAATTAGTTTAATGTGTGTAACATTTAGGAGGCTGTATTGGCAGAAATGGAATATAATATCCATAGGTATGTTTTTATTAGTGTATAATCACCTGAATACTGTATAGGTATCATGTTTTCGTTACCTTAGAATAGGCCGTACATGGCATACATACATACGGACGCCACAGGTCACCTTCCATGGAGTCCGTTATGTTTCTACAGTAGCCCAGACTGGACAAACCACATACTGGCTGAAGATGGGGAGCTTTGGGTTTTTTTCCCAGTTACGCAGCCACCATAGTTCCTCTTAGTCACTTCACAGCCTGTTCTCATTCCCAGGTCGTCAAATACAGAAAGAGGTGTTCAATTAGTTGCAATCTGCAACTTCACTGCTAGATGCCACTAAATCCTACACGCTGGACCTTTATATTGCCTGTGCTCGGTTTAGCATGAGTGCTTTAAAGTTCAATTTGAAAACATACTCAGACTCAGAAGTTTTTGTGATTGCATCATACACAACACTATCAAATGCCTCACTGATCGAGTATTCCTCTAAAAAATTACCTTTTAGGATGTCTTTAATACATACTATCATCAGGAAAAGGAGAGGAAGTAATCATTCCCAATTCACTAATTATAGTAATACTGTGTCCAACCCAGGACAGTTTTATTCACAAAATGTGAAAACATCGGATATGAGTTTCATTCTTGATTGGAATTTATTTTTATTTCAGGAAGGTAAATGGTAAATAAAAAAAAAATTAATTTAGGATGACAAAATTCCTCGGATGATGGAATGATTTGGACATTTTGCATTTCCATAACAAAGTTATACATTGATTTATATAGTTCTTTAGTAAGTAGTTGCCAAATTTTTTACAAACATTGCAAAAAAACTAAACAAAAAAAATCAATTTTAATTTCATTACATAACAAAGTTATACACTGATTATATCAGTCTTCAGTAAGAAGTCATGAATGTTTACAGCATTGAAAAAAAAACTTTGCTGTTTGCATCTTCATGAAGTCACTGGTCCTCACTAAGTAGGTTTTAATTGTTTACAACATTGCAAAAAAACTAAACAAGAAACAAAAACTTCAATTTCATTACATAACATAGCTCTACACTGATTATATTGATCCTCAGTGAGTAGATATAAATGTTTACAACATTAAAAAATAAAATTCTTTGCTATTTGCATCTTCATAAAGTCACTGGTCTTCTGTAAGTAGTTATAATTGTTTACAACATTGGAAAAAAAAAACTAAACAAAAAACTTCCATTTCATTCCATAACAAAGTTGTACTCTGATTATATTGGTCCTCAGTGAATAGATATAAATGTTTACAACATTGAAAAACAAATTCTTTGCTATTTGCATCTTCATAAAGTCACTGGTCCTCAGTGAGTAATTCTGAATAGTTTACAACATTGAAAAAAACATAAACAAAAAATAAAAACTTCAATTTCATTCCATAAAAAAGTTGTACACTTATTATATTGGTCCTCAGTGAGTAGATACAAATGTAACATAAAAACATAAACATAAAAAAAACATTGCTATTTGCATTTCATCAAGTCACTGGTAAATAGTTATAATTGTTTACAACATAAAAAAAACTAAACAAAAAAACAAAAACCTCAGTTTCATTCCATAAAAAAGTTCTAAACTGATTATATTGGTCCTCAGTGAGAAGATATAATTGTTTACAACATTGAAAACTATTATTTTTACTATTTGCATCTTCATAAAGTCACTGGTCCTCAGTAAGTAGTTGTTTACAATATAAAAAAACCCACATTGATACTTCATTACAAAACAAAGTTGTTCACTTTATACTGGTCCTCATCAAGTAGTCATGAATGTCTACAACAATGCACAAAATGCTTTGATATTTACATTTACATAACAAATTCATGTAGTCATATATAGATTATTCTAAAGTAAAGAATCCTAAACAAAATATTCATAAGTCATATCATTCTTACTTTATGCAGTCTTTTGTTTGAAGTCATGCTATGTTGTGTTATGTTAACATGTCAAAATCTTAAACTGACTGCCAACATGACTTGTCTGTCTTGAATCCCTAATTTACATATGCCTCTACTTTACTGAGAAGCTCAGATGCCATGTCCACTGCTAACATTTCATTCTCTGATTTGAACTGTCCGTTTGGAATATGGGGAAATTGATGGTATTTGGGATACTGAGTCTTTTTGGCATCCACTCCCAGTGTCATTAGATTTTCCACAATTTGAGGCAGAACTCTCAGTTGGATGTTGTAAAGGGAAACTTGTGCAGCTCTGGTTGAAATGGAGTTGTTGGTTTGATATTGCCCACATCTTTTATACTCTGCAGCTATGAGAGACTTTTCCACTGCTTGATGGACTTTGAAAAGACACCATTCTGTGCTCCCCCCACCAGCGTCTTTGTGAGCTGCATTGAGATCACAGCGAGCCTGTCTACACCAACGCTGGGCCTCCTCTCTGTTCGGCTTTGGGACATTTTCATTATGGTCCCAAAAGTTGTAAGACTGGTGGCCTCTAGAGAATCTCTCTCGACCAGCTCTGTGTTGCCTGGCCTCCTGATTCCATTCCTCATAGAAGTTTCTGAAATTGGAGTTTCCCCTTGAATAGGACGGGCCTGCAGTTTTGCCTTTGCCTTTACCCTTGACAAGCTCATCAATTTGATTCTTCAAGTATTTGAATGCTTCAGTGGCGATATGTTGGCATTCAGCGTTTTTGTCAGGATGCCATCTTAGGTACAGTCGTTTGATTGCTTTATGCCTCTCCTCTTCAGGAAGAGTCCAGATCTCTTTCAAACATTTGTCAATTTCCCTTTTGGCTTCGTCAAGGGAGGCCGGTGAGGATCTTGTAGATGATGGTTGGGGCGAATGTGCCACAGCTCCTGCTCGCAGCTCCAGCTCCATGCAGGAAGCTTCAGCAGATGTGCATGTCTTCCCCCTGGCTTCTGGTTTCTTTTGTCGTTTAAACTGATACAGGTCAAGACAACTGACTTCAATTGGCTCATCTTCTCCAATTTCTATTTTGTATCGCCGTGAATATGGTGAGTGCCCAGGCAGTTCTTCAGCAATAACTGCATAAATGTACTTGTTGTTAGTGTTGTAGCCAACATATTCCCCCTCTTCAAAGTTATTGAGAACATCCATATCTAAGGAATCATGCCATTCCTCTGGAATATCTGTTCCAGGGGCTGGTAGATTTAAGGGAAAGTTTTCAATTTCAGCACTGTCATGGATCCCATTCTTAGCAAGAATGTCCCGAACCTCTTCCAGGCTGTCACACATGAGAAGTTGACCGAGGACTGTAAGGTGAATTGCGGCAATTCGGTTACCTAAAAGAGCATTAATCTCCTTTGTCAATGTCATATTGATGTTATTTAACACCTTGAATTGCTTGTTATCATTGTGTTTTAAGTGAAAGACGCAACCTTGTTGCCCTCGTTTGACAAAAACATCAGTTTTAGTGGCAGTTTTGTGTAGTGGCTGTTTGTTCACCCAAAGCTCAGTTTCAAGGTTTCTGCAACAGACAATCTGAATACTGCCAAAAATCTTCTTGCACATGTCAGTAGCGTCCTCTTGTGTTATTTCTCCCATAGACTGTTCTCTGATAAGGCAAATTAGTCCATGTCTGAACTCTCTTGAGGACAGGTGTATTTTAAACCATTGACTAAACTGACAGTCAGTCTCAAGCTCACAAAGCTGCATGTGTGATTCCACTACTTTCTCCTCAGTGAAATCAGATAGCATTTTAGGCTGAAATTTCTCAGGCAGCAATTGCAGCAACCGATGATGCTCATAGATGTCAAGGCCCAAATGACATTCACTTAGTTTCTCAAGCAACAGGAACTTATTATCCAGTGCATCTTCCAATCTTTTGATCTCAAACACGGTGTCATTGTAGTAGAGTTCCATTATTGGGTATAATTTACCATCTACAGCAGGAAAATACAAAGTCTTTACAGCGTCAACATTCAACTGGTTTCCTTCAGTTTTGATTAACTTAAAAAACTGCTCAACAGCACGTTTCACTGTTTTCTGTTGGTTTGGGTTTAGTTGTGGTTTATCACAGGAATCAGCATAAACTGCTGCCAGAACATTACAATACTGAATTGCGGTAGGTTTGTCCTTTACACCAATTTTCTTGAAGAACTCTGCGTACAGGACATCCTTCGGAGAAATGTTGTACAAATATGGTCGGAACTCACTTGTATGGCAGAGTGAAAGACACGCATCATCAGCCCTCACGAGTTCTATGTCCTTTTCAACCAACACAACAGGAGTATCAGCTAGTGATTGGCCTTCAAACTGGTTTGCTTGCAGGTAGGCATACGAACTTCTAAACACATCAGCACGGGTTTTGATCAAATTGTCAGTTTTACAAGCTGACTGACAGATGTTGCTCATGTTGTTGGTTACACAGTGTAGAGGTGGTTGTTCATGAGCGCCGGCATTTTTCAGCTTTTTCAGCAGCTTCTGTGACTTATACACTGGTAGATGTATAATTGGCATTGAAGACCAAATCAGTTCTTGATGCTTAGAATCACCTTCAATCAAAGACCCTCTGATTTTAACAGCAGTTCTCTCAGTAGCAAATGGTTGGTGATAGTTGCACAGTTCTTGTTGAATTTTCACAGGAAAAATGAACTTGATGTCAGCTATGTTCTCCACCAACCTTTCCTCTTCTTTGTCTTCACTCACTTTTTTCAAGGCTGCTTCGAAAATCAATGATGATTTCTGTTCCAGCTCTTTAAATTTATAGTTTCCTTTTGCTTCTGATTCTAACTGGTGTGCAAACTTTATTATGTCATCTTTTGATACAACATGCTTCATTCCAAGTTCTCTGAGTAACCCTTTTAGTTGTTGGGTTGTTTGTTCATTTTCTTCACACAACTCAGACCAAAATCTCTCCGGCAAAAATCTGTCTTGGGGCAGCATTTTCTTGTATAGTTTAACACTATCATCAAAGTAGTATGACACTTTCTCTAATCTGCCAAGAGAATTACGAATCAGTTTTACTTCCTTCAATGAGGAGATGATTTTGTCTTTATCCTGAAAATAATTCACATTACAATGTAGTAACAGTTTGAGGCATTGAAGCAGCTGGCTCTCTGTGAATGTATGTATAATGGACAGAATGAACTTCATGAAATACTCCAAATCAGTCAGGATTGGGATGTTTAATATTTCTGACAGACTGCCATTCTCTCTGTTGTTCTGAAGAAAAATGCTGTTGCTGTCAGGCAGAATGAACAAATCTGGAAATGTCCCTGCAAGTGTGCTATCGAGGATAAATACCTCTTTAGGTCCATCAATCCTTACTCGTTTACCATGTATTGTTTCAAATAATGGTAAGGATTTGAGCTTTCTCTGGTTCTCTTGTTTGTCTTTTGACTTGAATACCCCTTCCTGCAGGAAACGCTGAAGCTCTTTCATCTCATCAATAGAAAGCTGGGAAAACTCTGAGTGGTTAATCTTGTAGACCTGGTCCAACACAGAGATTTTATCATCCACATCCATAAGTTCAGGGTGTAGAGGGGAAGACACATGTCGGTCCAAATGTACCTTTGAGAAGAATACATTGTCAAGCTTCATAAAACCAAGTTTAAAGAGGGTGCCCGATATGTCCCTTTCTAAAGCGAATTGAATCACACTTGGCATGTCTTTCATTGTTTGCAGGAAGTGCTTGTTGTTTAACCTTGGACACACAACAGGTAAAATGCAGCAGTCATTGAAGAGCTGTCTAACATCACTTAGTGTCAGACTTGGTTTATCACCATTAGATGTTGCAGGTTGAATTTGACTTGTTAAGAACTTCCAAAGTAATCTCAGCCACTTCAGTGTTGTCTCGTTTGGGACATGAAGACCAGTGCGTGGGTCAACTTTACAGTTCTGAAGAAGACGCTGAATTACTGGCTTAAGATATTTTGCTGCACAGGGAACTGTCAAATATTTTACAAGATTGAAAGTTTGTAGAACATGAAAGTGGTGTACGTTGGTTGGGTAATCTGCAAATTGTTCCTCATAGCCAGAGAACAGACCTTCATATTCTGACATCAGCTTGGGAGATTCAGAATCAAACACTCTCAAAACTTTATCTCTTGTGAGAAGAAGTGGGAGCCCATTGAGTAAAGTGGAACAGTCTTCTGTGACCTTTTTCTTGTCTCTCTCAAACTCATACAAGCAGAAACTCAAGAGTTTTGAACATCTGTTTTCATCTCTGATCAGAGTGGCAGTTATGGGCAGGGGTAAATCCTTGTCTGTTTGGGCTGGGTCATTGAGGGGTTTTTCTCTCAGGAAGGTCTGCACAGTTGAATGATTCACATCTTTCACTTTGACACCAGCAACTCTGAAACTATTCCAAACTTTTTTCATTTCCATGGAAAAAGGAACCAATATCATTCCAAGATCTTTCAAAATGGAATTAATCTCGCTCTGTCCTGAGTGTGCCAGGTAAGGTGCCTTAGTTGATTCAGTTTCTCTGACATCACACCACTCAAAAGAGTACTCCTTAATTTCTCGGCTTGCAATTAGACGTTTTGAACTCCTCAACACTGGGATCACATTGAGGCCTCTTTCTTGGATTGATCTGTATACCTCATGTATCATTTCATGCCAAGCCTCATCAACATTTTCAGACACAGTTGGCCAAAAACGTAAGTATGAGCTACTTAAGTATGACTTAATTTGTGTAAGAGAGACTTTCTTATTTGCAGTGTTATGGCTGATGTAATAAAGGAGATCGGCATACAGTGGAGCAATGACATTCTGTTTCAAAGATTCATTCCACTTAGATTTTTGACTTTGTCCATCTTCTTTCCAAAGACCTCTCCTGGCAGAATCCACCTCAAAGTTTGCATTCACATGCACTGGTAGTTTAGTTTTCCCTGGCAAAGGAAGTGAACAAAAGGCTTCTCCCATGAAATACATTTGGCTGGATGGTGCTAGACTCTTGAACATCTTACTGCTCACAAGGCCCGCTATTGCTGCTTGGGGTAGTTTGTCTGATAGTGTTGTTTCTCTTCCGCCACTGTCTTTGAATGAGCCAAACTGTTCTGCAGTGATCCATTTACTTCTTTTATCTGAGGTTGAAATGATGGTTTCATAAATGGCCTGCTGTGGTGTGATTGGTTTGTCAGATTGTAGTGCATTTTGTTGAAGTTTGACAAAAGCATCTTTTTTTTCTTTGCTTGTCTGTGGTAGACTTTTTTCCACCACAAAGATGGTTTTGAGTTCCCCTGATTGTTCATTGATTTCATGTACTTTTATTTTGCAGATGTTTTTCAGAAACAGAATTAGTCCTTCAGGATCTTCAGAGAGGACAGAGCATAGTTCTTTCATGTCATGGTCAGTGACTTCCTGCTTTGATATTTTAGAGCTGTCTGCCATGCTACCCATCCTTAGAGGTAATCTGAACATGGTACCCTCTTTAAGAGGAAATTTGTCAGGAAGAAAGGAATTGTAGACATCTATGTACATGTTCTTGAAAGTGTCTGCTAGTGTATAGCCAATGCCAGCTGGTGGGTTGTCTAAATGACTTTCAATGTACGTCTGATTGGGATCAGAAATGCACAGTAATTGATCTCCAGTAAGAATTGAGGGGCAGTCAGTGAGATGATAAACAGAGTTGAATCCCACTCCGTATTTTCCTGTCTTCCCTGCTGTGTTGTGCTTTCCTCCTTCTCCCAGCTGTTGAATCCCATGCAGGTCAGCATCAGAAAACACTTTGTTGTTGAACACACACAGTGCTGGACCCTGCAGATGGTTCCATTTCTTCCCAAATGTTTTTTCTTCGCCATGCTGTCGTTTGTCCCAAACAAAGTGGATTTCTGTTGCTTCTGCATCATCAGCATTTTGTAAAAGCTCTTTTAGGATATCCTTCTTTGATGGATAAGCTGAAATTATGTTTTTAATTCGAACAGGGAGTTGTTCCTGCTGTTCAAACTGAAAAGCAAATGGTGAAATGTTCTCAACAATGTGGTTTTGCAGAGTATGATGCCTGGTAGTTTTAATTCCAAAGTGGCAAGCCACAACACGTGGGATATTCTCGTGGCATAAAGTGACACCTGATGAAACTGGTATCCATGCACTGTCATTGTAAAACATCTCACTTGCAGGTTGTAAAACACCATGTTTGTTGGGTATCAGACAGTCCCCTGTTGTTTTCTCTTCGGCCTCATATATGCCTATGTTCAAAATTGTGAGGCAGATTGATAGATCACTCTTTGGCAGGGGGTTGTTGCCATGTCGAGAGTGCAATTCCTGGAACACAGTTTGAAACTGACTGGTGGTAAAACATTTTTCAACACCTACACTTTCCCAGAGCCTCTTGAAACTAGTGAAGGCAGGTGGAAGTACATAGAGATAGGGTTTTGCTTCAAATTGCTCATTCTCTGCTACACGGTTCACATTTACAAATGCACTGCCTACAAGAATAAATGGGAATGAATTTGCCCTCTGTGAAATGAAACTGGAATTCTCAGAATCAATGAGCAACTCATCCAGAAACTTATAGCATTCATATGCTATTCTGTGAATCATGGTGCTGTCAATAGATTGAGATTGCTTACAGGCTTCTTGCAGCTGTTGAAGCACAGTCTCAAGGCTTGGAATGTCACGAACTCTCAAAATCTGTAAGACTGGATTGGTGTTGTGTATTTTCAGATTGTTGTGATCCAGCACAGGATTTGTCATGTTAACAAGTAGGGAGCATTTGTCACTAAAAATATCAGTGGGCCTTCCAAGTATTGCATTTCTTTCCATTCTTGTATCACCAGGGCGAAATGCTGGGAGAAATTCAGTCTTCCTCAGTGTTTCCCAGTGGAGAGAGTCTTCATCATTCCTGTGGTAATTCATAAGTTCAAGAAGGCACTTCATATGCCCATATGCTTTCTTTTTGTCAGTGCTCCAGGTTTTGGTGATTGTGCCTGCTTTGTCTGTGATGTCTTCCAATGGGAGATGATCATTTGCCATTCCAAGTTCCAACAAGCGCTGAATCCTTTTTGGGGAGCAAAAGTCATTTTTGGTACCCCCAAGCAAGCGTCCCTCTTCTGGTTCAAAAAGACAGGCCACTTTCCCTGATGGATTCACAAGTTTTTTGATATACTGGAGTTGTCCGCCTTTTGTGGGGATGCATGGATAGCAGAGCAGTAGATTGTCAATTTCTTTGATGTTAAGGTCAATAGCATGCAGCAGAAGATTATCTCTACTCTGAGGGTCCAAGGTAGTAAGGTTGTTGAACACTGCTTCTTTGTAAAACTTTTCCCAGTTCCATGTTCTGTCCTGTAAAACCTTTTCTAGGCCAGCCTGTTTGAAGCTGTTTCTCAACCACAGTGGAAGAGGAACAACCTGGTTGGGTGCTTTTGCATGTTTCTTGCACACGTGCACTACAAGTGTACTGATGTCTTTATCCTCTTCAATGCTCTCGTGTAGAAATATCGCACTGTTCATTGAGCACCAATGTTCTCCGTCACTAAAGAGCGCTGGACCAGTGGAGTGCTGGGCAATGATGGAGTAAAATGCATCGACCAAAGGCTTGAATGTTTCACTCACGTTCTCTCTATCAGGCCAAAAGGTGTGATAACAGTAAGTTTCCAGTTGCTTGTTTTCAGACATTTTCTTTAGTGCCAAGAGTGCAGTAACATATGCCGTCACTACAGGATCCTGAAGAAGGGCTTTGTTCCAGGCATGTTTTACTCCACTCTCCCATAGACCTTTTCGGTTGCTTGTCACAGCAAATGTTCCATTTACATTGACTGGAAGACCTGTGTGAATGGAAAGGGGGAGGAAGCAAAATGCCTGTCCAACAAGATCTGTTTGTAATGAGGCCATTTTCCCAGTTTCTGGATTATTTTGCAAAGGCACAGCAACCCCCCCTATAGGCAAAGAGAACTTGGCTTGCTTGTTTTCTTGAAGGGAGATTTTCAAAGACTGATGTGTCCCAAAGCAGTTGTATAGGAGCCAGGACTGGACTTCAGTAACACCAGATTGCTGACTGGTTATTTGGACAATGTTGACTTTGCAGCAGTCAATGACATCTTTGCATTTTCCATCAAGTTTCATCAATGATTTCTCAGCTTGATGCTGCTTTGACACATTGGATTCATCAGGAATCCTCATTGTACTGACAGTTGTTTTGGAGACTGTAAGGACAGTTTCTATTTCATCATCTCTTGGCGGAACTGATCCATCTTTTGAGATATTTTGTAGAGATAATGTATTGATGTTCTTCAGAAACAGCAGGTGAGTTTGTGAATTCTCAATTAAGTGCTGTTGAAAGTTGATGATATTGTGTTTTTGATACACTTTTGTGCTTATTTCTGACTTAAGAGCTTCTTCTTCAGTTCGGAAAGGTAGTTTGATCAGAGTGCCTGGATAGGGTTTAGGGGGACTTTGTTTGGTGAAATTACAATCAAATATGCGTTCATATGGTCCAAACTGACCAGGAAAACAACGGAAATGTCGCTGCAGAGAGAGATTCAACTTGATTCCAGGACTTGTTCCATGTTTGATGTGCTTCTTAAGGTGAGTTACATTTGGATCAAGTATGAGAAGACTGTTGCCACTGAGGATAGAAGGAACATCTGTCACATGATAAACTGTATTGAATCCAAGTCCAAATTTTCCAATTTTCTCCACCTTGTTTTCTTTTGAGGCAGAGCCAACTCTGACAATATTTTTCCAATCCTCATCTGTGAACTGCTCATTATTAAATGCCCAAAGACAAGGTCCCTGACAAAGGGCCATGTCAGGATCAATGAGACTTTCAGGAGAATCTTTGTGCACTCTGAAATCCACCAAGAATTTACAGGCGTCTGCCCCAGCATCCTCAGCATTTTGAATTAGCTCTTTGAAGATGTCACTTTCTTCATCATACTCTTTAAGAATGTTTTTAATCCTCATTGTTATTGGTTCAGATTGCCCACACTGTTCTATTCCCACTAACTCTGGATCAAGGATGTATGTACTGAGAAATCGGATGTTCAACCATTCAGCGGTTGCTTTAGGGATTTCCTCATGTAAGACACGAATTTCCTCCTGGCTGTAGTTAAGCTCATTCAATCCATTTTTGCTTACATCACAGAAGACTGCTGTTGAACGTGGTTTGAGAGTATATTGTTCACCCTCTATGAGGACTGGCACCGGGATGTCATTCGGAACTGTCTTCTTCTCTCTCCATAGCCAGTTAAGAATTTCTATTGACACTTTTATCTCAGAGGAACTTGCCAATGGCTGTTGCCTTTCTTCAGTGGTTTGCTGGATAGAATGAAGAATGCCAACAATTTCTTCATCTGAAAGTGATGTTCTCAGACCAAACTCCTGGAGCAACCTTTTGTATGGCAGAAATTCATTTGGCACCTTTCCAATGTAAGAGCTCAGATCTAGATTGCGTGGGTAGTCTAGAACCAGATCCTGTGGTGATACAAACTGGTTATGGTTCCACAACCAGCGTGTGTCTTTGTTCATCATTGTTGTAAATTCAGAGATGTGGTTTTGCATGTGTTCATAAATGCTACGCAACTTCCTTTTGAAATCAACATTAGTGTCAGGATCAGTCATTGTTTGTGCTTTTGATGCCAAGACCAACAAATTCTCTATCACTTTTTCAGGTGGGGGTAGGCGTTTAAGACCAAGTTGGTTGGTAACTCTGTTACTGAACTTTCCCACCAGAGGCATTACATGCCCAACAATGTCCTCATACATAGAATGTCGTATTTCATCTGGACAGAAGATACAACTTTCCTGAGATTTGTCATTGCAGTGTTTTTTGTCATCCCCCGATTTAGCACATGGGACCCATTTCAGCATTTTAAGGGAACGAAGCTGGTCCTGAGAAAACTTTGAAAGTAGATCATTAGTATCCAACATTTTCAAGAGTACCTGAGCTCTTTTGCAAGCATCAGTTTGAAAGTCGACATTCAGTTGGTCAATCAGTGTGGCAGCATGCAACAAGTGCTGAGGTGACACTTCTACTTCTTTATTTAGCAATCCAAGATCTGTGAGACTTTTAAGCATCTGTGATGTTTGAGTGTATAAAGGTGGGGGGAAGAAATCTGACTCAAAAACGACTTTAAAAGTTTTAATTGTTGGATCAAAAAAGCTTGAGGTCTTTTTCAACTCTCCATTAACTTCAATGAATCTCAAGTCCTTACATTTGTGTTTCAAGGTCTTATTTTGAGAGAAAAGGATAGTACCATGCTCTAAAATCCAAGTCATGATTTTCTCACTGTCATCTTTTTTGCAAGCCCCCCTCTCAATAACGCCAATGAGAAGATTGGCTGCTTCAGCTGTGTCCAAGAGTTGAACTTTGAGCAGCTGTAACAGTCTGCGGTCAGCCTCAGTTGCACACTGCACAACGGAATCAGGCATAGGGAACTCTGTTGGTACTGTTAGACCAGAAATTAGGAGCACAGCCTGTTTTGATTGAGTTGCAACACAGGATCCTTTCATGGTTTGGAAGAGAGGCAACTTTAAGAGTAAATCTTTCTCATTGCCTGAGACGGAATCCAGACGAGAGAGATAATCTTTTAGTTCTTCTCGTTGTCTGGGAGAGGCAGTCTCAAGCTTTCTGATGAGATCTTGAGAATCTAAATTCCCCAAGACTTTCATGACACTTTCAGGAGATGGGCACAGTACATAAGAGTGTAGGTCTTCGTGCTTGAGCCACTCGTTTCCTCTCACCACTGTGCCACCAACTTTGTTCACCAACTGAGCTATTTGTTCTGGCAAGTTAATCTGCTTGCTTTTCTGAAAAATGAGTGTTGTGTTCTGCTGTAGTCTTGCTAGTGATACAGACTGACTGTCAGACAAGGGACCGACTGGTATCAGTGGAATTCCATTAAAATTACTTAACTTTCTGAAGTGAGTGTTGAGAAATTTCCAGAATTCTTGGAGCCAGTCCAAAGGTGGATGTTGACTTTTGCCGATGTTCCAGGTTACTAGCCCTGCCCTCACCTGCTTCCAGTCCTGTGGCAAATACCTCCTCGTATATTCAGCCACCTGGTCAGCATCAATGTTGATGACCTTGAATAAATCTGAAAAGTAGATTTTGATAAATATATATATAGTGTGAAAATATGCAAATAACTTTTAAATCACAGTATTCTATAAAATGGCATTCCTACTTTTTCTGGCCAGTTCTTTCAGGTGGGTATTGCAGGCTGGACTGAGATCATCTGGGATGAAGAGGTGCTTGCAGCATGGTAGCAAGACTCTGCACAAAGGATAAGTTTATTTACTGTGAAACAAAAACTATCATTTTAATATAAAAATAGACATTCTTTTCAAATTTAATCCAAGAGAGATAAAATAATGGCAATGGCAATAATATACTGAAGCAAGTAAGTGTGAGCTGATACTGATACTAATGATGATAAAGATTGGATTTGGAGAACAACTGCAAACACCCTAACCTAGTATGATATAATTGTTTTAAGTTACAGTAAATGATTCTAACACTATAACATGTGTTTATTGATTTAATATAGTATTTTAAGAGTAAAGAGTAAAAAGTACAACATTCCTGTTGATCATATCATGAAGAAAATTTGAGCAACATATTTGGTGTTTTCTAAGGTCTGGAACAAATTATATGGTTCCTGTATGAATGCACTGCCATTATTATATAATCAGAGCATATGAGACTGTAAGGTAAATACTGTAGGCCCACACCTACCGTATTTACCTTTTTATAGCATCATAGTTAAAGTTGCACCCATCTATATTTTATAATAACAATTGATTAAATTACTATGGTTAATGTGAACAAAGTAAAATTATACAGTTGTAATAATAGTGATGGTAATTGACTTTAGTAAGGATGTAAGGCCAAAATGATCATGAAAAAAAATATATAAGCAAATGCTAATTTAGTAGACACATTTTTAGCAGTAACATTTTTATCAAAAGTAGGATGAAAAAATAGAAACCCTACCTTGGAAATCCATCGCTGTCAATTAGAGCAGTGTCCTCCTCTCTGTCTGTGAAAGATCTGAAAGAGCCATCGCTGAGTGGAAGCAGCTGAAGACCCTTGAGTTCTCTGTATTTTCCATCACTCAAAATGTACTCCAAAAGAGAGAGTTTGTCGTCTTTTGAGATGATGTGCACACCAGACCTGCAGAGAATGTCCCTTAAGAAAGCTGGCGTCACATGTTTTAGGGTGTTGACGTGTGGATAGGCTTCTTTTATAGCTCTTGCAACACTACTTGGTAAAGTGACAAGATTTTCTCCACAGGAAACCAAAGTCCTTTTGATGGCGGCCAGTATGTCAGGGCTTGTTGGGCCATTACAGGGGAACACGGCTTCTGATGGAGTGATAAACATTCTTTCGTCCCTGGCGAGAGAGAGGACAGCCACATTCTGTCTGAATAAGTGTTGAAGAACATCCAGAGCAAAAGCAAGCCATTTGTCTTTGTGCTTTATCTGGGCAATATCTGGCCACAGATCGTACACGGAAGAGACAGGCAGAAAAGCTTCTTGGGCAAGTTTGATAGCATCTTGAATAATCAATAAGTATGCCTGTGGGAGCACTTCTTTCATCAGTAATTCATTCCAGACAGCATGTTCATCATGTTTCTGGTCTTCCTCTTGCCACTTGATGTGTCTTCTGTTGTCTGTGAGGCCAAAGCACGCGTTGACATAAACTGGGAGTCCTGTCTTGTTGGATTCATTGTTTGGGAGGGGGAGAAAGCAGCTCAGTCGACTTTGACTACAGTCTCTCTTCTCACCACAAGGGAATGCCAAGTCGACTTGTGGAAAAAAGCATAACTTTTTTGCGAGTAAATCAAGACATTCTACATTGCCTTCTTTCATGGTACAAGTTGTCACAAGCCACTTTGTTTCTTTGTGGTCTTCTGAGCTGAGGGTTATTAATTTGAACTTTGTTGAACCCTTAATGATTGACTCATTTTCTGACTCCAAAATGACATCTGTGTTGACTGAGGATTTCACTTCAAGTCTGGTGTTGACACTGCCATGTACGTTGATATGTACCAAGGACACAGAGGTCACATTTTTCAAGAACAGGAGGCTCAACTCTGCATCCGCAATGAAGCTATCAAAAAGATCAACCACCTTATCAGAGTCATATAGATTATCTGAAATATCTGAATCCTTGTTGCGCAAGGGGAATCTGAAAATTGTCCCGTCAAAGTGCTCATCCTCCATGACAACTTTTGACCATTCTTGTCTGCTTACAAGTGAAACTATATCTTGAAAGGGTTGGAACTGATCATGCACAGTCATCAGAGCTTCTTGGTCTTCTGGATCTTTCAAAGACCACCAAAACCCTCCTTCTTTTTCTCCAAATATTTTTTCTTGGGGATCCATGAAGCCAAGATGACCTGAACTGAATATGGATGGCACATCTGTGAATATAGGGAAACAGATATTGCCCCGTTAATTTACCATGCATGTTCTCTAAAGATTAAAACTTAAACTGAGACTATTGGGTATATGTGCGGTAAATGTACATAGTTTCACCTGTTATGTGGTAAACAGAGTTGAAGCCAATTCCAAACCTCCCGACTCTATTTGGATCATCGCGCTTGACACTCCTCCCTGCCATCTGAATTCCTTTCCAGTCATCATTAGTGAACGCTGCATTGTTGTAGGCGTAGAGAGCAGGACCTTTGCAAAAAAACAAAAAATGAATACCAAAGAACCAGTGACATATACTGTATTGCAGAGACTGACTAACATCTGCTGAATACACATAAATATCATATCAGACTCTAATGCCAGCTTATCAAGTGATCATAAGAACCAAGATAAGAATTTTGTGGTAATGAGAAAAAACATTACACATGTTCTCTTTGGCCAACCACAGTGGACTATGGGAGGAAACCCACATGAAAACAAGAAGAGCATCAAAAAGTAGGGGGCTAAGCTAACTGTGTCATCAGGCTACCACCTCTTTCTATTTCTATATCATTTTTTTGATATATACCATAAACTTAATTAATAGCCCAGGCTTTTATTGACTCCAATCACTGACCTCAACCTGGCTTTATGTGGAACTGGTGTCTAGATTGGACGGACATTTAATTCCTTTTGCAGAAAACTCTTGCTCAGCAAGGATGGGAAAAACTCTTAAATTGTTTATTTAAAAACAGTATGAATATTACTTTTAAAATTGCTATTGAATAACAAATCAATTATGAAACATTTATTTAATACTTTGGTGCTCATGGTTTCCATAAAATGAACTGACATTTACATTTTGGAGAATCTAATAGATCTAATGATGTGTAGCATGTCCATATTGACGAAGTGTAACATTTATAGTAGGCGATCTAAGCAGCTTAAAATTCGTTTAAGCGTTTTATACATCCAAAAATCCAGACCATGTGTCTACTTGAGACCTGAGTGTATTTGTCAAAATGTGTAGAACCACCAGGATAGGAAAGGTGACCTGCCTCTTATTGAGAACCTACTTTTAAATTAAGTTTTATGATATTTTCTATTGAAGAACACATTACAACTCATGTTGATAATAACCACCCTAGGACATTGCTATTCTCTGGATCTCCTGCATACCTTGGTATTCTCCTAGTTCATCAGTCCACAGGCTCTCAGTCCCATAGCTTCTCTCATCATGGATGAAAACCACTTCTGTGGCTTGAGCATCATCTGCATTTTGAATCAGCTCCTGTTGACAAATAAAAAAAATAACCATAATTGAGAATAGCAGACCAAGGATAACTAGGATTCCCAGTTTCCTTCTCCCCACGTATTCTCTCTTAATCTCTAACCAGCTAATCTCATTCATTCAGCGAAATACTGTAAATGTAATAAATGACACGAACACAATAAATGTGATACTCCCATGTTTGACAAATCAAATGTCCACAGTGAGGAAAGGTCTATTATTTTATTATTATTATTTTATCTATTTTTTTGTAGTATACAATTAGTGAAAATATTATTAGATAATGGTTTTAGGAAAATACTTTAATAAAGAAATAAAAATACCAATTACAACAAAAACGTTTACATATTTATACATAACTTATATACAATTAAAAATAGCCAGACTTCCTGACTTAGTCATAGCAGGAAAAGTAAATGTTTAAATGATAAAAAAATTACATATTCTCTTTAAGCACTTTTTTTTATTATAGTGTGTGTTGCCTTGGAATTTGATGGGACTATCAAAAGTTTATGTACCACCATATCCAATGGCTGTCTGCACCACATTAAGTTCCATTCTGTGAAAATTGCCATATATTCAGCTTATAGGACATATAGACCTATAAGTCAATAGCAACTTGATCTGTTTTGCAGATCCACATCCAAGAGGTTTCATCAGTTCTAGTCATTAACCCAACAAGGAAGTAGGAAGTAAAGTAGAAGCAGTAAGAAAGATCTGGGATCATTACTTTTAATCTCATTGGAATTAACAACATGTTTCTTTCTTCAGTACGGTAAGAAAGTGGATGTATGCATCAAATTTGCAACTCCAGAGAACAATTAGGCATTGCCATCTTTGAATAATCGCTGCAGCATTAAATTGCTATTGAAATTGCCAGGTAATTACTCTGTATCTATAGTGACGTCTAAAATCACAAACTGCAAAACAGTAATTACCAAGTTGGTTCACTTACAACAGTGGGCACACAGAAAAATCTTCTGTAATGCCATTGTTTTTATATAGTGTGGATAATTAGTCTATATGACAAGGGTACCAATGCAGCTTTAGCTGAAAACAATCTGTGCTCGTACAATTTAGGCCTAGAGTGCACATGTTTTAAAGTCAGCACTACAAATAAGTCTAGTATTCCAGGAGGACAATTATCATTATATCAAACTTCTTTGTACCATCTTGATCAAGAGCGCCAACTATGGCCGCACCAATGACAAGATCTTGAGTCAGATCCCACCCAGATGGAGAACACATGGTGCTACCTGCCTGATACGTACAAGATAATGTCACTCAGGTGAGTGTGCAGTATTTGTACATGTGTTTGCATGAATAATGTAAAAAGTACAAATACATGTGAGAGTGTGAAATCCATTGCTGCCATGTGTAGAAAGTTCAACCTCAGCACCTCAAGTCAAGTCTCATATTTTGAGAGGACTGTAGAACAAAATTGGACAACCACAGTAAAGTTATTAATTCTGTGTATTGCTTTGTTAATTAAGTTTGTCCCATGGTGCACACGGTTAACTCATGACCCAAAAAGCTTTAGCTGAAACAGGAATACTTTGAATAGTTTTGCCCTTTAATACAGCAGAGGAGACAGACATCTGTCCCAGAGATTCTGGCTCAGTATGTGTGCATGTGTCAGCTGTTCATTTAACAACAGCATACAAATAAAAACACAATCAAACAATGGAATTACCAAAATAACACTTCCTCTACTGGCATATAAGATCCTCCTGTCCTGTCAGCGCTAGTACGAGCACAGCAACTGAAGCCACAAAGCGTGCTACACAGAATTAGCAGTTTATCATTCAACAAAGGTTATAATACATTTTATTTTATTTGACAGTATAACAATCCCAAGATGTTCACTACTGAGATGTCATTAAAACACAGATTTCACAATTTAAGCAGGAGACTTGATAGATATGGATCAAATATTTTAATCATATGTCATTTTATTTAACTAATGAAGCCATGCAAATAAAAAAATATGATTAAACAATTGCCAAATTCCTCAGACCCAAATATTTATTATAATATATTTTGTTGAGCAGCCAGCAAGTCTTAAAAAAGTTCCTACAACAATGTGGTGAAAACATTACATGTAGTTATTAACCCAACCCAAATAATATTTTTATTGTGGGGAATGCAACCAATATAAGCAAACAAAGTATTCATTTGGATCAAATATTTTAATCATATGTCATTTTATTTAACTAATGAAGCCATGCAATGAGTCTTAAACAGGTTCCTACAACAATGTGGTGAAAATGTTAGATGTAGTAATTAACCCAACCCAAATAATATATAATATATAATGCAACCAATATAAGCAAACAAAGTATTCATTTGTTTCATTCTGCAGGAAAAATGCACAATACATTGGTTGAACCAGATCTTGCCAAAAGCTCATTTGCTTCTCTGCTGTCTCATGGTGGTGACCCATCAAGGTTTTTATACAATCAGTCAATAATGTGATAGCTCACTTCTTTATAAAAATACAGGTTTTTATTCTTCTATGGCACATCATAAAAGGTGATTTTAGGTGTCCTATATTCTTGCAAAAATCCCAATAAAAAACTAAAATAATGATGTGATAAATGGTTTCATCAACACAGAAAGAAATAGTACAATCTAAATATTGTGTAATGTAAAAAAAAATGAGATACACAAAGTAAATATTATAACCAGTATTTGACAGAGCATTGTACCAACCTTCAGAATTTGTCCACCATCTGGATATCGACGTAGAATATCTTTCAGGTAGTCAATGAAGGGCGGTGCTGTGGCCCCGAAGGACGTCCTAAACAAAGCAGAAACTAGAGTTAAAATTCAAATCAACAACCGGTGTAAATAAATCCTCCTGAAGCAAGAGCTCATGAAGTCAAATAATGCATTAATCAAGTAAATCAATTAACTACCAAATATTTCTATACTAACATACAGAATTTGTGCTCACTCCACATGAGCAGCAGTACACTAATGCATGTGTCGTTTCCAATTACTCTCACCATGCTGATTTGATGATGATATGAATAACAAGCATATGTTTGTCAGTATTATGATTCAACAGCTTTTACTGTTACTGTTTACTGCTGTGAATTTGATCAGATTTTCTTTATAAGGCACTAGCTGGGATGACCTTATTTCATGTGTTAAGTAATCAGTGTCAGTATCTCAAATATTGCTTCAAATCAAAGAAAAACAACTCACCGCGTCTTTTTCTTTGTCCTCTGACTCATCCTTCCTGATCTGGATGCTGTAAGAGAGTCAAGAGTGTTGTAAGTAAGAGGCATTGCATCACCATAGGTATTACATTATATTAAATTAAATTAAAATATAAAAAAAATGAATGAGTAAATTGAAACAGAAATGGGAAAAAATGCAGAATTTGTGTCCTGTATTGATTAGTATATACGTATTAGTATAGTATTTATTATTTACTTGTATTTGCATTTACTTCTCTCTGTGTGAGTTTGACCATATGGAACTATGAGCATGGTTTAGACATTTATTGACAGCCTCAGACTACTGATGCATGAATAAAAACTAATTCATAGTATTTCATTACACAGACCGACACTAGAGTAGAATAAGATTTGTCAACACGGCTAAAACTGATGCCTGTTTCACAAAACTTTATGGAGCTTTCAGGAAAACCTGAATCATCTCTTTGTACATCAAGTTCAAGACCTAACAGGTCTGAGGCTAAAAGCTGTTCTAATGTACGCAGGGTTGCCCAGTTTTATGAATCACCTGGTTCATGGAAGTAGCATAATTATTTTAGTACAGCAGTCTGGCATTCAGGTGCACAAGTAAAATAGTCATAACACTAATTTACTGTACCCTTTTCTTCATTTATGCTAGTTTGACACAAGATGTTCCAGATTGCAGTATAAGGTCATGTTTAAACTGGAGACAAAGTAAGGTTTTGTTTTTGTTTGCTCATATGTGATTTAGATCTGATTTTGTTATAACAGTGTGAACAGCACAAACAACATGGAATCTGATCTTTTCCATTCTGATTTGGTCCACATCTGTTTTTCTTTTGTTGTTGTTTTTTTGCAAAATGTGTCACTCTAGATCTAATTTTGACATGAGGATCACTTCAGGGCTGTAACCTCTAGGACACAGTTAACAAGTTGGGCAATGCCAACCACCAAAGAAGGAAGTGAACAAATAAAAAAAAATATCTGAGCATATGCAAAAGAATAAATGAATCAACACAGAAATGCTGATAAAGTATCAGAAATACAACAAAACTCAGAAACTCTGAGGAATTAAATTAAGGAACAAATGCACTTTTTGTATTTCATGGATTAATTTCCAAACATCTCTGGCATTAAAACACATGCATATGTTATATTATATATATTTAACATACAATATGTTGAACTCAGAGACGCCGATAAGGATAAAAACTAATAAATACACGGTCGTAAATCACGTTACCTCAGTCATATTTGTTGAGGAGTCCCATCAGGTCTGCTGCTGCAAGGTGCGCCCCAGAAATGGAGATGTTACACCGGTTCAGCAGTTTATAAAGGCAGTGGTCCAACCCCGACACCGGACGACGTTTCCAGTCACACTCGTTACTTTCGTTTTCCACCCAACTCGAGTGCTATTTTGCTTGAAACGAAACTTTATGAGGCAGCAACAACAGATCCAATTAAAGACCGTTTCTTCAGCCATCCGCAATGAAACGAAACTTTTCAAAGCGGATGAGCACATCTCCGCAAATCGATGTCCCAACCATTAAAATACACATATCATACTCTCACTATCATCTGAATCTTCCAGCAGAAGGTGCATCTAGTTGCAGATAATTGCGGGTGTTCCCAAGATATAAATCTTATTTAATAGGGACTTGTATGTGGTTATGACACTGTGTTCAATCTGCAGTGTTAATGTGGCATAATCAGATTCACATGCAACTTAGTTTGCATGTGTTTTCCTCATCGGCTATTGCTCGCTTTGCCTCTCAGACATAATCAAATATGAGACAGTTATTCCGCCACTCGCTAGATGATGCTGCAGCACAGTTTCATCGGACAAAGTCGGGCAGCTTCTTGCAGGAAAACGCAGGCAGGAGATGAAATGCGATCCAACAATCAGTCCCCAGCTGTTATTGCGGGGTTTAAGCGCGCTGGCAGGGTGATTACTGTCAGTACGCGCGCCTTTTCTCGGGCACAATAAACACGGTACGTAAAGTCTTTGTCTGCGTGGTGTTAACAGCATCCATCATGGCTGAACTCGAAGCCAGGCCTACTGTACAGTACAGTACATTGGTTGCTAAGCTAGTACTGCATTTCTGGTTTTCAGATTTGAATGTCAGCTGTGTGTGTTTGGCCAATTCATCCAAAGCTCGTAATCAGATGAGCTTTTATTACTTATTATCGTGCGCTGGCATACAGTAATAATCGGCCAGTTAGGAGTAATAAAAAGATTATAGTAATAACGCTGATGACATGAACTTGCTTTGTGTGGTGCCAATTCTCAGCCACACCACTATGAAGCATAATAAACATTATGTGTGTGTCACTTTCAGATGTGTCAAAGGATGAAACTGCCTCCCCTCCCACTCTGGTTGTAGACATGCTGGATAAAACCAGTGACAAAGGCCAACAGACTGGGCGTTGCTCAGATTGTGGATGCACTTTCACCCTGCCACAGCCTGACTCTGCCCCTGATTCTGCCAACACTTCAGCCTCTCCTAAACAGCAGCGTGTGCACAAAGCGGACAGCCCTTCCAAGTGTCCATCCTGCCAGGCAGGCAGCAGCCTCCCCAATGGCCGACGTCCACACCGGCGCATCCGTCTGGACCCTCACAGCTGCAGTCTGTGCACCAAAACCTTCATCTCCTCCGCCCACCTGACCCTTCACCTGGCCTCTCACAACAAGGAGAGGAAGTTCAGATGTAGCACCTGCGGCAAGTACTTCCATCAGTCGTCCCACCTGATGGCACACAAGATAATCCACAGCGGGGACAGGCCATTTAAATGCCCAGAGTGTGGCAAGACCTTCGGCCGCGCCTCGCACCTGAAGACCCACCGTAGGCTCCACACAGGCGAGAAGCCCTTCAAGTGCACCTACTGCGACAAGTCCTTCACCCAGAAGGCCGGTCTCCTGGCACACGTTCGCCTACACACAGGGGAGCGTCCATACAAGTGTGAGCACTGCGGAGAGGGTTTTCGCTCTTTGTCCCTCCTGCTCTCTCACAAAGCTCAAGAGTCTGGGCAGGCCAAACCAGCGCCGGCACCAGCACCAGCACCCAACCAGCCCCAGACGACACAAAGTAGCTCAGAGGATCTCAAGTGTGGCGTCTGCTGCCGCACCTTTGTGCGATCGTCATACATCAGGCTGCACATACGCCTCAACAAAGGACAGCGGCCGTATCACTGCAAAGTGTGCAACAAGACCTTTGTCAAGCTGGATACGTTTGTGAACCACTGCGATAAACACTTGAGGCAGAAAAAGGATAAAAGCAAGGAGGTTGAAGACAAAGTGGTTAAGCCTCCCTTGTTTGTCCCACTCTCCAGGCCTCCTTCTCCTGAGTCCACTCAGACTTTATCCTCAGAGGTCAACACGCGCTCCAGAGCAAAAGCAAAGACTAAAACAGAGCCATGACCAAAAGAGCGTCCACTCACAAAAAAATGGTCTTTAATTAAGAGATCGTAGTTGTTCTGCCACAGCACATAATAACTAAGGCAGGACAGTAGTAGTAGCAAAATAAATGCTACCAACAGAATAAATCAAAAGTTACATGTTTACAAAAAATCAGAAAAAGGGACAAAAAGCAAATTTGTAGATGAATGACTCCATTATGTCGTTTATATCAACATGAGTTTACTAATTGTACAGTTATTTAATTTTATTGTGAACAATCATCTTTGTAAGTTCTACAATGTTGTTTTTGAGGCATATTTTAGCTAACAAGTCTAATTAATATTTGTAGCTAACATTTCAGTGGCGTACATTATTCACTTTAATCTTTGAATATAGAAAAAAAGTACAATATCTCTAACCATTATCATTCATAGTTAATCTGTTTTATTAAATCATACAAACCTACTGGCGTGTAGCCCTTGTACCAAGTACAAACAATGTAAATGGAATGCCTATTGTAAAACAATACGCACACAGAGTCAAAATAAACATAAAAGCATAGTGTCAAACATTTCTTTGTTTATAAAGCTCTGCAGTTCATCCTTATCATGAAACTTCTGTTAATCTGCTATTGTGACTTTATGGTGTGTTGTGTTATCACTATAGGACTACATGTCCTTCCAGAGGAGCCTCCTTTGACCGTCACGTTCGCTATGACAGTCGCACTTTATTCATCAGGTCAGCAGCAGCTTGCAGGTGTAATCTCACTCAACAGAATTAAACAGTTTTTCTGTGGATCTGTCACCTCCACATGGGGAAACTCTTTGTCCCAACCTGTGGACAGAGAGAAAAAACAAGTGAACAATAAGGACAACATTTACAAGTTAAAGGTTAAGTTAGGACTCATTGGAGGCTAATGTGTGNNCACACATTAGCCTCCAATGAGTCCCAAATGCAATCTATACTGTTATAAACAAATCACTCAGATAAGGAAAGTATAAGGTGAAGGTTAGATGTTTGCCTGGCAGTTGTCTGTGTCCTCTGTGCAGCTGTTAATGTTCCAGTGCAGGGTAACGGTCATGTGGCGTCTCCAGACGGGGTTCCTGCGCAGGACAATGGTCCCGCTGATGGAGTCTCCGGCGTAGACACTAACCGGCCTGTCTAGCATAAACAGAGTCTGCTTCCAGTGTGTTGGCCTGGAGAGAAAAGGGTCTACTTAATATTGTCATGCATTCCAGTTTTGGCCTTTTTGTGACACTAAAAATAAGCCTGTAACACGCAGATGTATTCAGACATTCATTATAAAGTATTTGTCTGTTTAGCACTAATTTGGATTATTTGAATTATATGAATTGGCTGTAAGGGCTCAGGAGCACTGCTGAATAAAGTGTCTAACTTCTAACAAGTGTTTTACTCAGAGTTAGGTCCGGTGTTTAGCTCCACTGTTGCGCCTCCTGTCTCCAGGCTCTCGAAATGAACAGTGAACCAGGCGGTGAATCCATGGAAAACACCAGGCTTATCCACACAAAAATGAAACTGACCCTTTATTTCCTGGGAAATGAAACAGAGCACTTCTATCAGTTACAATGTCTAACTTGTAGATGACGGAGCAATTTCTAATACACAAACACATGCAGTACCTCCAGGTCTTGGACTTGCAGAGTGTACATGTCCAGGTTTAGGACATCACAGGGAGCGGTGAGACAGTCATTGGGCTCAATGAGGTGGCTGAACTTGGGCTTAGTGAAGAACTCCTGCTGTGCCAAAGGCCTGCAGAGATGAAACCTTATTCAACACCATGAGGAAAATAAGTTGCTACTATAGATTCTATATAGATACTCCAATTTATATTGCAATAAATAGACAAATAGAAATTAAGGACACACATAAAATTAGAAATAAAATGTAAACAATTATGGGTTCCTGTGAGTGTATACCATTTAGTATTTAATATACTCTAAATAGAAATATTGGCAAACAGTATACATTATAAATATGTTTATGCAGTTCGTCACAACTGGCTACCTAAATATGGATTCATAAATAAGTAATATGTGTTAGAAGTGGATAAAATAACAGCAACACCCTACAGAACAGCAGCCTCAAATGGTCTCATGTAATTTGAGACTGTCAGAGTCGACTCAATGATAATTGCCACTGTCTGTAGTGCTGTAGCAAATATCTTATGACCTCTGTTGCTCTTCACTAAAGCAGTTTTCCTGTATTTGGTATATTTATCATAATATTGAGTCTTATTATGTTTTACATCAACAACATCACAACTGAGTGTGTTTATGTGTGCGTGAGTAACCTGGTTATAATCAGTATTCCACATATGAGATGTGATAGAAAACACCACATTCCCTGTTTTGAGGAACCTGCATATGTTAGCTTGAGTGCTAGGAACGAGGATGTAGGCACATGAACACATTATCCAGGTTCCTCATCATTCTCTGTCATGTGTGCAGGTGCGTCATCAACTCAAACTACATAGTTGTTAGCCAACTAAACAAAAACAATGATGGCAAATGATCTAATGATGATTAACACAATGAAACAAAGTAATACAGATCCAGAATTTGTAACGTTGCTCTTGTTTTCCATTACCGGTGAACAGGTAAAGAGGTTAAATCCCACAGAGTGGTAAATGCAGTTCAGACAGGCAGTTCACTCTCAACTGCTGAGGTAACTCAGTCGGTACAGAATACAACGAGCAATATAGGTCAACTTCAGTTGTTTCATGGCAATATTAGGCAACTTACAGAAATACAAAGACGGCAGTTAGTTGCTGCCTGATGTGGTTGATCAGTCACACTGGATCTATTTTGAAAACACAGTTACTTATGTGCATAATGGGGAAATTAATGTTAAACATACAGAAGTGGGTATGTGTATTTATAGCAATGTACATGGTGTGAAAAGAAATTGTACTTACAGTAATGAGTCAACACATCACCATGTACATACATTGTGTTCAAAGTATGGTGGCATGAAGGGTTATTACATACAAAAGTACTTGTGTGACTGATTTGTGTGAATTTGATGCTCACAGTCAATATGACACATGCACAAGCTGAGTGTTATTGTACTTTCAAGTTAAATGTGGCAGCCCGGCCATGCCTGTCGTCAATAACACACAAAGACTTGCATCACTACCTGCCATCAACCTGACACCACATTTTATACTAAATACTGAAACTTCACATCTGAGTTCAAGATCTTAATCTTAAAATATGAGTATGTATATATAATATTCACTGAGAACAGCTGACTAATGGCCCTTACTGTAGAGGAGTGAAGTCCAGACCATAGGGCCGCTCCCAGAAGGCCATTTTCTCTGCGTAATAGCTGTCAGCCTGACACGGCACCAGGGTGAGGGCCGCAGATGAGGGCCATATCACGCCGCCTTCCTTAAGCCAGCGGTCCCTGGCCAGCAGAACTGACTCCACCATGAACTCAAACTAGAACAGAGGAAAGGGAGACAGAAACATAATGTGGAATTCAAACTTGAATGGAGAGTGGAAGAAGCATGATGGGATCCAATAAAACTGTAATAATACTGAGATGAAGCATCTAAAGTAGAACAAACATCCACGTAATAACTTATATTCTTAGGAACAGATTTGGTAGTGTCATTATTACCAGCAGGCAGTTACCCATCCACTCAGACACCAGGACGTCCACCTGCTCAGGTAACTCGATCTCCTCCGCTCGTCCCTGGAGCACCGTGACCACCTCCTCACAGCCGTTCTGCTTCACCAGCTGTCTGGTGTACTCTGCCATGGAGCTCGCCTCCACTGCATACACCTACAACCCCACAGATAAACTTACATGCTGTGTACACCATGTCGGTTTTACCATGTAGCAACACTCTTTGTCCAGCAGATGGGAGTGCAAGTCCACAAATGTTTCATATACACATGTGAGTAAACGGTTCAGTATATTATAGAGAGATTATGTTGATCTGACCTGCCATATTTTGTCTGGATTTCTTGGCTAATTTTTAATTTTTGTTATCACTTGAGAGCTTTGAACTGTATCTTACATTTCTGGGTAAGAATTCAGATATTTTCATGATATTTGAGTGTTACTTTGTGCAAATGTGGTCTAATTAAAACACATTTTGGGATTAAACAAGTTGTACATTACTTTTTTTGCCAGATGGGGTGACAAATCGTTGATATTCAAAGGAAAACTCAGCCACTACACCTAAATTAGATCAGATAGAACTGTCAGTGACCAATGTGCATTTTGGGTAATGTAGGCACCAGATTTTGATAAGGAAAAATGTGTGGAATAAAAAAGATACCCCTGGTTCTGATGCCCTGATGCACTGCACTGAACTTTTTGAATTCTAAGTTCAGCAATGTTACAGGAGTGCAGTGTTAAATTGACCTTTAAATACGCAGACAGAACAGAACAATTCCAAGCTTACAATAAAACTAACTACAACAAACACCTTTATATTTGCGAACATGCGTATGCACGTGATACATTAAGAAATCAACAGCTCCAATTCATGTGCTATTTAATATATGCCTTAAAATGAACAAACCGAGAGATGACCTGCTTATATTTAACTTGGAGGAATGGTAGGCAGCTTCATTTCTCTTTATAAATAGAAATCCCTCAAATGGGATTGGGATCTGAGCCATGGTCCTACGAGGTGTCAGCCCCTCAACTTGTCTATACACTGCAGACTGTATAACCAGCAACCTGTGTATTTGTGTAAAAGAGCCTCAGTGTTTGTGTAACTTCCCCACCGGCCATATTGTTGACATTACCACTGAGGGTTGTGCCAGCTGAGCGCAGAACAGGCTGATGATGCCAGTCCCACAGCCGAGGTCCATCACCACTTTATTCCTCAGAGAAGCACAGTTGCTGAGAATAACCTGTCGGTACGCCTCAGTGCGGCTCTTATCTGACAACATCTCCAAGTGAAGCCTCTGTATCAAAACAATAAAAGAGTAGTGTGTCAGCGCAACATGTGACACGTCATGACACATCCTGAGGTCATGTTCTTCTTATAGAGACCCATGGTGTTACATATTAATTAAAAAATGACATTATGAAATAAATATCACAAATAAATACAGACAAAAACATTTATGCAATTTTGAAATAATCCAATACTCAACTGCAATAGGCTGTCCGCTCATTCCTGATTGACAGACTGTGTGATGCACAAACACATTTCATGGTTGTATTATATATTTTTCTGGTTTTATTTATATGGGCATTTATTTCATAATGTCGTATTTATTAAATATTGAACACTTTGGGTGTGGGTCTCACAATTCTGAACACTTTCCAATGACAATTGTTTTTCAAAGCATACCTTAAGGTTTTGTTTAATTACCTACCTTCCAGGCAGCCGTTGTTTTAAATTTATTACAGCACAGGATGACAATCACTATGCAGAGAGTTGAAAGCTTGGGTAATCTATCACAGCTTTACTTTTTGCCCCAGGAAGGGTGGTTCAAGTCGTTCAAATTCAAATTCAAATAAACAATTGACAATTGTTACAGCACTGCTTGTTTAGAGCCTTCCTGGGTAGTGCATGCAAAGGAAGTCAGTAGCTGAACAGCAGCCGTTTACATTTCATTTACATATCTATTGTGGTTTGGGTTTCCTTTGAACACTTCTTGTGAATGTAATGCATCTCTCCAGGCTCTCTGAATTTGTCCTTAAACACACCACCAAAGAACAGTGCCTTATAGCAACCTCATGCCTTGTTATTTATAGCTACCATGCTGTAGTGCATGGTTGTTATAAAAACTGTAAGCATGAGTTGCACATGCTGACAATTTAAAGACCATTTTTAGCTTACATTACAGCTCTCATTTAACGGTTTAGTGTTTGTTCCATTTTGTTAAACACATTATTGCTGACCGTTTTTAATCCTTGTCAACACACTGTAATAACACTGTAAATGTTGCAGAGGCATTTTGTGACTCTTTTACTTTTTATTATCAATTTGCTTTTGCTAATTGCTTTTTATTAAATTTTAAATATTACATTTTATTAAATTGGATTTTTGCAAGTAATAACAGCTGACCTGACCCTCATTTTCTTAATTATTTATTCATAAAAGCTTCTTTAAATGCAAGAAGGTATTAATTTAAAAAAAAGTTCTGTATATTTGAAATAAATAACAGTTTTTTTTAATTAAATTACATTTTTGCTAGTATTAACAGCTGGCCTGATCTTTTAATTATTTGTTTCATTAATTATGAAGACAATTCAGCTGTGACATGCAAAACAAAATCATCCTACAAAGTTTCTAACCAGTGTCGAATAACTGCCAAAGTATTCATCATCTTGCCATGGGTCCTCCTCCTCTTCCTCCTCCTCCTCCTCCTCCTCAGCAGCATCCTGGCTCAGGTATCCTGCAGGGACATAACCTATGACCCCACGCAGCTCTGCCCACCACCACTCCGAGGAAGGCTTGGCGTGCACCAGCAGTTTGTCCCCGCTGCTGAAACTAATCTGTGGGACAAAAACCAGCTCAGTTAGATCCAACCAGCCGACCTCCAGGTTCCCGGTGAGGGTCTGAGGGTCTGTGAGGGTCTGAGGGTCTCTAACCTGGTCGCTGCCTCTTCCAGTGAAACCAGACCGAGCCACATACTCTTCAGGAGAGCCGTCGTCCTCTCTCTCTGCCTGCGTGTCGGGCGGCTGTCGTTTGGACTCGTCTGCTGTTTGGTTTCCTGGAAAAATCAGGTTAAACATGTTCACAGTCTCTGGAAGTGAAGGAACAGTGTGTAGTGCAGTGAAATAAGCAGCAAAAACAACAACACAACACAGAAACTGCCGTGGATATCGCGAACACTTCCTGTTTTGACGTCAGATTAAGTTACCATGCCTTCACGGGCCGTCGGAAATATCATAAATATATATTTTTATTATAAATATATAATATACAGTGTAAAACAACTGTACAAAAAACACGAGGGTTTGTTGTTTCTGTTCGCGATCATGTATGTGTGCCAAAAAACTAATATTAGATATTTCTAACTAAACTTTGTAATTGTATTTTTTTTTTTTTTTCAAATTCGTCATCTTTGTTTAGTTTTAATTATTACACCAGATTCGTGCATATCACAGATTTTTCTTTATTATTTTGTCACGATAGGCAACTGTGTTTCCACTCTCTGTTAGTACAGCCTAATATAGAGCTTATTTAAAAGCACTTCAAGTGAAATTGTGATTTCCGAAAATAGAAAAGGGGGAATCTCGGAGGAGCACTTAAAGGCAGCACCGCGCTGTGGAACAGATGGGATTAGAAACTTCATTTTAAAACTTGTGGTAGTTTCCTCTTTTTCAAACAAATGTATATATGGCAGTTAAAAGAGATGGGTTTCTCCTTTCTGAGAGTAACCTTACTGCTCCTTTTCCTTCATATTTAAATTGGTACCTCATTAATCATTCAAATACAAATGTTTTCTTTAGTTAACAGTAGTTTATGACATATTCCGCAGTTTAGTATGGTATCATCCCCTTTTCTGTTATCAAAAAGCTTAATTTCTGTTTAAATTTCATACAGTATACTTCAATAATATATATTCTTAATAATCCCTAGTTTTTTGTGAATAAGTATTTATTTTAGTTTCTTTCTGAGAACAAAGTAACCGTGAGAAATAACACACTACAGTATAAAAATATTACAAAATATTTATTTTCATAAAAAATAAATTCAACAATAGACAAATGATATAACACCATAACTGAATAAAGCACAGAATCAGTGAGCAGCTCCGACAGTACACATACACATTTCTTTCTTGACCGAAGTAAATCAAGAGTGTTTGAAGTATTTAATTCAGCCCTCTGAAGTGTGTTTGCACGCTGTTGAACATGATGAGCAGCTTTACAGAGTTCTTTTCAGAAGCATGTCACACCTCCTTGGTAAGAGGTTTCAGCTGTCTTTTGTGTTTGACTTGAGGAAGGGCTTATGCAGCACATCGTAAAGTCTTCGTGCCTGCAAGCAAAAATGCATAGTTATTTAATAAATGTTCCTTCTAACTGTCTTTATATTCATGCAGTATTTTTACTTACTTTTTGTGGCCCAAGGCCTGGACAGAGAACCAAGTCTTCCTTAGAGGCACTGATAATTCCTTCTACAGACTGTAAAGAAAAACACAAAATTCATCATCTCAGTACACTGACCATATGACTCCCTCTGACAACACCACTAAATTAAATTAAGTAGAATGAAACAATTCAAATCTGTCTGTCTGCGCATATAAACTGCTTAAAGTACAGCATCAATCTGAGGATGGATTTCCCCTGTAGTGGTACTCACTGAGAAAGTGGACAGCAAGGTAATGGAATCGGTCTTGTTTATAGACTTCACTGTGGTCAGGCAATCTGTAACCTTATAACAAACCAATCTGATCAGCACCGCATTGTTCAAAGATTAAAAGACACTGTAAGACACTTGTGAATACTCTGATTGCAAATAAGTGTCCTTGACATTGTCTGTGACTGGATCATATTCAGTCAATCACATGAAAATGTAATGAACATTATCAAAACTAAAAATATGAATGGGCCTCTCAATCTTTATGTAATATATAATCTTTACATAGAAAAGGGTGAAACCATCCACACACCTTTGACAGATAGTCCTTTTCAACTTGCTCCTTCAATACGTCTGCTGGTTTCTTTTCATATGACTTGTACGTTTCCAGGTAACGCCCTGCCTCCTCTGGACTGTCAAATCCACATGAAGAGGAATTAGGTATTTTTATTGATTTATTGCATTACTTAATTATCAGGCTCACTGTTCCCTGACCAACAGGGACAAAATAAGACAACATATGAATATTACAATTAAATGAAAACATATAAACTAACCATTACAAACCCAAATATGCATCACATTACATTGAAAAAACAGAAAAATCGGACTTTTATCACTTCCCTTTAAGGTGCCATGGCCGGAACCATGTGCACAACATGGAGAAGCAATAATTTAAAACGGATTCCAAGTTAACCTCTTTGTCCTGTTCAGTCTTATTAGCAATCTGTTGCAGGTCTTACCTCCAAGCCAAGATGAGAGTGCAGTCAGCCATGATGCAGATGCGAGCCAGCTCCTTCAACGCATGATGAGGATCTTTCTGTGATTAAAAACCAATGTCAGTGAGAAATACATGAATTCTTAACTCATAAATGGAGCTTGGAGATCTGAGTCTGTTTCATACAGTATATAGTATCTGTCAACTGTGGCATTTAGATTTTTCTCCAAAACTGCCTCCAGCTGCACACTTTACAGTTCAATTATACCACGGTTATCGAAACAAATTCAATTGCGGCAAGATATACTTGACAAATACAGCGTTCTGCATGGATAGCTTACATTACAGCTCTCCGTTAACAGTTTAGTGTTTTCTATATGCGGTTCCATTTTGTTAACCACAACATTGATGACCGTTTTAATCCTTGTCAACTCACTGTAATAGAAAGTGACAATGAAATCCAGTTGTTACAGTTAACCAGCTAGCCTACAGAAATGTAGAGGCATTTTGTGACTCTATCTTTGTTGTATTGTATCAATTTGCTTTAATTTATTTATTACATTACATTTTTGTTAGTATTAACAGCTGACCTGGCCTTAATTTGTTTAATTATTTACTTGTTTTTTTAAATGCAAGAATGTATAAATTCATTTAAAAACGTTCTGTATATTTGAAATTCATACTATGTTTTAACACAGTATGTTTATGATACCTTACAACAGCTGGCAAAGCTGGAGCACAGAGACTTAAATACACACACAAACACAATCACATCAAAAAAATAACAATTTAATACAAAGATATCAATCAACTAAAATATGTTTTCTTTAGATATGATAATGATTTCAAAGACTGGGTCTGAATTTCCTTTCCTGCCAAGTTTGATAACTACAGTACTAACAACCAGAATATTACATTGCTGGAGTTCACTATGAGACACTACTGTTTGCAAAACATTGCACTTTCAGCTGTGTGACTCAGCGAATGTTGACTGAATGAATATAACTTGCCAATGTCAGGATCAATGTGTTTTTTTACTTACCACATCGACTTGTACCAGTAACACTCGCAGGGTGAAAGTCTGTCCAAGCAGCTTGAGACGATCATGTATATAGTTTGGATTGAGATTGTGATACCTCAGACTTTTAGCCAGGCCCAAAACCAACAATAGAGAAACACAAAACAGACAAAAAAATTGCATGAAAGAAGTGCATAGCAACTTCTGCACATCAAATACTAATTGTAAAAAAAAACAAAGAAACATTGCTCATCAAAAACAAAAGCCCTGGTGGCTCGCCTGGTGGAGCTGGCACCCCGCGTACAGAGTCTGCGTCCTTGCTGCAAAACCCACCTGAGAAAGAGAGCACAAGTTGTCTGGCCTAAGACATAGTCTGGTACAACCTCTCCAAACTCCCACGGGACACTCCTCACAAACTTCAGAATGGGATTTCCCCTCTGAATTGGAAAAAAAAGAAAACATACCTCCTGTTACACCCGCTGAATTACAAGCCAGACGACAGTGAAACTTATCCAAGCTAATAAAGAAACAACTTGAAAGCCTGATGTCTCCATGGGGAATAGCATCAGCAGACTAATGTTCCTTGTAATGTGACTGTAATGGGACTAAACATCTGCAGAGAAAGGACGTTTGGATACAGAGCATTGGGGATTTCCTGCACAGACCTGATGCCTAAGTCAAAAGTCATACACATGTTGTACATTTAACATACCTGCCGAGGACTGACAATAATGCTGCTCCCAGAACCCGCTGGTTTCGGACCCAGACTGAGGCTTGGATCTGACCTTTGCCAACTCCCCTCTTTTTGGTTTGTGCCAGTCAGCTGTGTCTCCTCACTGTTCTTGACCCCTTCAGATCCACCTTCAGACCCTTTCACACAGTCCTGACCTGCTTCACATCCTGCTGGGACAGACGACACTGAAGGGGACTCACTTTGCTCCGTGTTGGAAACCCCAGCCCCTTCAGTCCTGAGCAGTTTGGAGGGGCCGTCTCTCTGAGGAGGAGCAGCCACATTGTTTTTACTCTGGACGATGAACTGTGCGTAGGACAAGGGCTGGTCCGCGGGCTCTGCAGCGGGCTTTGCAGAAGATGAAGTTGAGGTGTTTTGTCCAACTTTGGACGACGACTGAAACTGCGGCTTTGGCTGGAATATAATCACACAATGGGAATCTGAGAGTTGAGAATTGTGAGATGAATCATGCAGAACAACCACTCACGGTTACACTTCTGTGATGCTATGTTAGTAAAGCTGTTTAAACAATGTAGCCACCAGCTTGACAGCTAGCTGGCTAATTCCTAGCCGCCGTAGAAATAAAGGTATTAATTCTGGCTAAAACAGAAACCCACCGGTGTTCTTTCTCTGGTAAAAGCAGAATCGTCTAGGTTGATGTTAAACCTCTTCTTCATTTTCTTTGACTGATGAAGACTTTTGCACACATGCCACTGACAACAATGTTACTCACGAACCTCCTCTACAACAACATTACGACTTCCGACCCGAATCCTTCAAAATAAAAGCACAGTCTCATCGAATATTTTTTTTTACCTAACTGAACTGACTAAACTTAAAAGTCGGCACAAGTAATATGTCTCTCTGTTGTTCTTTATTCGCATGTTGCCATTCAATCTATTGCCGTGTACAGGAAACAAATGAGTAACATTGTGAGAGTTATAGTCCTCTTGCACTCAATAATGTGCTTATTATTACTTCACTTTAATGTTTGACTTCTGTGGAGAAGGATGAATGTGCAATAGTTGAGCAATACTATTTTCACATTCATCTGCTGAAAATGCATATTTTCTCTGGGCTCTGAGCATTATTTGTGACACCACAACTAGGCTGTATCGGTGTGAGGTTGGAAAAAAAACAAAACAAAACAATTTCCCCCTAGGGGATCAATAAAGTATATCTTTTTCTTCTTCTTCTTCTTTTCTAAACCTAGAATGGACTTTTTATGAGACATATGAGATATATGAGATCTATCTATCTATCTATGGTTAACTTGTGAGTCGTATCTGTAACTCGGGTATTCGTTACGTCGGGTTTATCTGGGTACCGTATCGTATCGTAATCGGTATCGTATCGGTATCGTACTCTATTATCTCTATCTAGAACAATGGCACGACTTGCTCCGGTGGACGCAGGGTAGTTCGCTAGGAAACATCTGACGCCGCGCAGTTGCAAAGCGCGAGAGCAGCGGGCATGTCTGGAAACCGTTCTCGCATGCATGCGCGAGG